AAGTTTATACTTTCTGCTCAAATTTTTATGTTCCTACCGATCCGGGCATGGATATCGATGTTAATGCTACCTTTGCTAAGGAGAAGCGCCATCGCTATTCACCTGCCGAAACATTCCAGAGCTTCTATTTATGCATCCCGTAGCCATGTAATATGTTTTCATATTAGTGACAAAGGGATTTCAGGGTATTAGGACGTAACAGTTCCAAATATGCCAGGCCACGGCGATCGACTTGCGGTCGGCAGGTGGGTCCTCCGTGTTAAATCTCCCGCACTTTTCACCACAGCAGGTAAAAGGGCCTCAAAAAACTCTAGGGCTATTTGAGACGCCCTCATCCAATAACAAATGCTGAAGATTTCTGTGGGACTCGCATCCCGTAAGAGGTACCTTAGGTTTTGGCAGGGCGGTGCACCGACAGAAGGGCGCTTCAGCTTTCTTGGGGCCCATAACAAGATTCAGGTCCCACAAAATATCTTGACCTAAAAATGTCTTGCATGCAGCATAGGATGTTAAATTCTGACCGTTGAACGGGCTTCAGGTTGTCCCGTTATCTACCGGTATCAAGGATGAATACACAAATTGTTTTTGTAGTACTGGTGGCAGCCTCGTCAAGTAAGAGGAGACCACTGTATTTTGCATGCACAGTTCTTTTCCCGTGCAGCAGTTTGTTTACGCGCTTACTTATGTAGAGGCCCTGCTAGAGGATAACTAGGAAGCAAACAACTGATCGAGTATACGTTTAAGGTCCACTTGTTGCACATTTGGCGAGTAGACATGGAGAAACGCTTCGGAAGTTTCGGGTCGTACCGAAACTACCGAAAACAGAAATAGAGGTTCCCGAAGCCGCCCGGCTTGCAGAAATAGGATCATACGTATTTATGTATTACGAATGCCAAACTAATGCAAAAACGCATTTTCCTTCCGCTGCCTTGTAACAAGAATTGTACTGGAAGACAGAAATAGACAAGTTCCTGAAACCAGAAATACCCCATTTGCCGATGTCTGTTGGCGAGTGGTGGAGTTGTACGATGGCCCTCGTTGGGCATTGCGCGACGCGGCCGGTCTGAAGGTTCGGTCACCGGCGCAGACATATTGAACAAGACTAGTCTAATAGCCCTGCTACAAAATGATTGATGAACGCTTTATTTTATATCATACCTTGCATTACCAAGCGGGGCTTCTTAAGCTATGGGCCCGACCCGGTTTAACTGTTCGACTCGTCAACGGGAAATCGGTTCCGTAGCTACATTATCTTGCGTTGTGCTATGCTATGTGTTGTGTTATTCCAGTAAACCCTCATGTGGCCCAAGGATATCGTAACCTAGTGTTATATGTTATGTATTATATAACATAACAGAGGTCGGCGGGTCCGTACCACAGTCCCCGCAGCCGAAATCCTGCTTAAGGCCCCGGCTGCGGTCCCTAATGTGTGTGGTTGTTACAGTGGGCTCCAGACTCCCGAAGAGTAGAGCCATCGGGCCAGCTGGCCGTGCACTGCAGTAGAGACTAATATACCAATAGAGACCATCACCTCAGATAATTAACCGTTCATCGGTGACCGCTCCCGTGAGCATAGCAATGTGCCAGATATAATTCTCAAGAAGTGGTGATGTGCGCCAACAGAATCCCAACCTTTCCGTGGAATTCCCAAAGCTGCGAAACCCTGAAGGCGGCCCCAAAAGTCAACAATAACTCGACAAATGGCTTCTTCCGTAAGGGAAGGGCCAGGTAACAGTGCCGGGTTGGTTTTCATGTTTGCAGCCATATAACGTCTCCCATGCTCCATGGCTGACACCGCAGCAAGAGCCACAACATCCCAAACACATTGGTGCACTGTTTGTGGGGCTTGGACAAGCCAAAGTTGCTCCCTTGAGACTGGCAATCCTATTGAAAGAGTAAGTTGATCTGCTACTGCCTGTGCCACCGGACAGGCCCAGAAATGATGACAGCGAGGGGATACACCTCCCACTGAACCTACTGGATAACCTCCACAACCACATACTGTTGGCCGCGACATCCTAAGATGGGAATTTCCTAACATAGGCACCCCATCAACCGTGAGACGCCACCAAACCTCTTTTTGTTCATTTTCCCATCGCAAATGAGACCATAAACGATGGAATGTCCGTTGCAAAAGAAGGATAGCTTCATCCAATACCTCAGAAGAGCCCGTCGCCTCTTTGATGAAGAGGGTGTGGGCCACACGGCGAGCCATCGAAAATGGTGAAAGTTGCATATTAGTCGCTATTTTAGCGGATAAATGTTGAAATCTGATTGGAGGCCCTACACCCCATCTCCAACCAAGCCAGGGTTTGGGTAACCGACTCAATGGAGGGCACCATCGCTTCCCTAGATTCTACACTCAGCGGCAACAAAAGGCTAGCCGCCTGTCTCCAATTCGCCGGGATATCAGCTAAAAGAGCGACAATAGCATCCATACATTCCTGCCATTTACGATAGGTGCACAGGGATTTAGCTAGTGGGGTCCGCGGTTGGAGGTATTGATCCACTATTTGATGCCAAGCCTTGCGTATTGCTAGGCCTGCCTTGTCCGTTGCATTCATAACTCCATCCAAGGCCTCGCGCGCGCGAAGAACATCCCCCAACGTATGCAATGCTTTACAGCCCAGGAGGGCTCGAAATTCTAGTCCCGGGCGGATGTTATCTGACGGGACATTCAACCTCTTTTCTGGAAGAACAGGGTTTCCCCACAGAGGCAAATTCCAACACCACGCATTAGGAACTAACGGGTGATCATCAACATCCTCCACTGGGGGAAGGTATGCCAACGCTGTCACAATGCGCTGAATATCTGGCGGTAAAACGATTAATCCAAACCAAGGCACTCCCACCTGGGACGTAAAAATACACATAGGATTGTACTTGGGGTAAAGGCTATGCAGGAAAGAGTGCATGACCAACACCCATGGCGGACGTACTAAGACTGGTTGGACTATCCCCTTAACCCTAATGACCAAAATTTGACCAAAAGGCGTGATTTGCAGCCTCTATAATGGCCATTCGGGCCGCATGCTGGACTTGAACTCTGTTCTTGACTTTGTAAAAGACTCCCACGACTGAAATCATGCCTCCCGCAGCCTTGGAAACCGATTTGTTTCAAGCTCGCGAGGGCTCGTTAGGCCCAGACGAGCCAGGAGGCTCATGGACCGCAAGTTCTAGCGCAGCCTTAAGTAAAAAAGAAACATAAAAGGAAAAGGAAAAAAAGGGTTATGAACCCCATCTGCGAGAAAAAAACAGCAATTAGAGTGAGCGGCTATCGTAACCTAGTACTTTAGGGGAGCTGACGAATCTAACTGGACGGCAAGGGCACGGCACAACAGGCCCCCCGGAAACGCAACAAAATGGAGCTTTCTGACTCTTCTGCGCTTAAGCATAGCGCCACAAAGAGTGGCGTATCGCGCGCCGCAAAGTGTGATGTACCTTTGTTCCCTTGATGTGTCGCATAATAAAACATTACAGTTAGAGGTTGTGATAGATGCAACAAAAGATCAAAGTGGCGAACGGAGGTGAGCATCCTGGTCGCAGAAGAGGACGTGGCAGTCCTGATGATGACGTGCATGGCGCTGCTAATGGGCAGAAACGTTCTCCATGCGCTAATTTTCACGGTCCACAATTCAAGCGTGAACGTGTGCGGTCTGCGCCCCCACCCCACCCCTCCCCTCCCATTCCACCCCTTCCTGGACACCCTATCCCCAACCTTCTCCCCACCTTTACATGACCTCC